TCGTGACATTTTGTTCTTGTGAAGCGCCTCGTGATTTTTATCTTGAGAGACGCCATAGAAAAGATCTTTCTTTCTTTCTTTCTTTCTTTCTTTCTTTCTTTCTTTCTTTCTAGTGATCATGAAAGGCTGCGTTTACGTTGTGGCCAGGGGAGAGCAGGTGGCATATCCGCTGGTAGAAGCTAACCATTAACTCCACGACATGGCAGAACACATTCAGGCGTGTGTTATTTATAAAGATAAAACTGCAACATTGTATTTAACCCAAGAAAGAAGAGCGAATGGAGGCAGTGAAAGAGTTGTGTTGGCCCTAACCAATCAGAGGTGAGGTATTTGCATACCATGAATATCAATGAACAAAACTTCGATCTCCCCACCCACCACCTAGGATTAACTTCTACCCCCTGAAACGGGCTCACAAGTCATTGATTCATACACGAAACCACAACATATTTATTAAATGAGTGAATGACTCATTTAGAAATTATTTGTTGATATATTAATTATGAATCCTTTATGAGTTGCTATTATTGTTATGCTGGCCTTGAAGGTTTTCATCAATCAATCAATCAATCAGTCAAAGATACTTTATTAATCCCGGAGGGAAATTAGAGTTTCAGTACACACAATTCAGAGATCAGACATACATAGGCATAGACACATGACAAGAATTGGTGACTGTGGTCATTCACAACCTTAGTCGCGCTACCTTAATAGAGATAAGAGGGTTACATGAGGAATGGTTCAGGTGTAGGGGGAAAAAAAGGCACTTCGGAGCTACTCTCCACCGGGAGGGCAGCTTTGCTCTGCAACAAAAACACCTCAACAGATATGCAACAGACTTCAGACAATACAACATAAGTTTCCACTAGGTGGGGTGGTGGATTGGGACTATCCCCACTTCAGTTCCTGCAGCCACGATAAGCAGCGCATGTCACCTCAGTGTGGATAGGGGGAGGATCATTGAGGGTTGGAGGGTTGCAGACCCTAGATCGTTTCAATGGCCTTCCCACAGTCCCGCCCAGGCTGGGAAAGGAGACATAGTTGAGTTGCCATAGCGACGGCACATTCCACATATCTTGTGAGGGGGGGGGGGGGGGGGGGGGGGGGGTTCGTTGGAGCCTTGCAGGCTCAAGGGTGCCAGATTCAGATTAGAAATAGTTTTGGGGCCAGACAGAGATAATTTCCTCTCTGTCTTACAGTTTGTTGGTCCTCAACCTCTCAAAATCCCAATAATGGACATTAAACTATCCCAATCCGTGCTGATTTGTCCACTCTCTCCTTGATAGCATTCATCTTTTGGGCCAAAGAAGGAATCTCCACCAAAGTCCCAAGCTTACGATTCATCTCGACAATGATTTGAGTCTGTGAATTCACCACGCGGTGTAAACCATCTCTGAGCTCCGGGATCAGGTCAATATTCCTCGACAGCTTGTTAATTTTCCAGTAAGCCAGGTATTCTCCAAGGCCAATGAGCAGGAAACCTGACACCAACACCACAAATATCCACACATCTTCAGAGTCCTCCACAGACAGCTGAGAAAGACAGATCAGCTTCCACTGTTTCCAGGAGTCCATGATGTGTCCAACTGGGTCTGTCGCGGAGGGGCATCCGCGAGCCCCTTCTCCCGTTCTCATCGTTGAAAAAATGTTATCAATCGCGTTGAGAGCCCAACTGATGAGATCCACTTTAGTGAATTTCAGTTTCCAGAAAAACTGCAGAAGCAGCCGTGCACCCAGCACACACAGACAGACAAAGGGCCTTGAGGATAAGATATGGAGGAGAGGAGGAAAAAAGCGTCTGCACCCGCCAAGAGCTAGAAGTGTTTGATTGGTTGTTCAGGTGTTCCTGACCTGCGGTGCTCAGTGTTCCATAAAGTGATCTCTCAACCACTTCGTAGCATGTTACATGGATTACTACTTATATACTGTAGAAAACTTGTTTACATAACAAAGGTGTGAAGAGCACAGGAAGCCATCTTTTCCATTCCCATTTGTAATTGCAACAAAGCGGAAGACAGCCTGTTCAGACTATGGTTAAAATATCACTGAAAACAAATCCAACAATTCTGACTAAACCTGCAATTCTATCTTCAATTCCACAAAACTAAATGTCAGCTAGACATCAATAGTTTATTAATATTGGTTTCAGAATTGAAACTCCAAACAGAACCTCCCAGTACCTGGACTGTTTTCCTCTCACTGTCTCAAAAGCCGCCCGTAAATGGTGAATCCAAATTGTGGGAGTGTGTGAGCATTTGTGGGGTTTTTGTCTGTCTTTTGTGTCTTTGTGTTGAGTGTGTGATGGACTGACAACCTGTCAATGATGTACTCTGCTTCTCAATCCAAGACTGCTGGGATCTGCTGAATTTATTAGCTGAGTTCAGTCTTTGAGCTTTTTTTTGTACATACAGCAGTCTCAGAGGGACTGAATAACTGCTCACGTTACCTGTTCTGGACTTCATGAGCCACAGCTTGGTCAGATGTCTGAAGCTGCTGTGGTGTTGCTTCCTCATCAATATTTCAGCCAATGTTCAACACAAAGGTTTCTCAAGTACACAAAGAGTGCCTTGGGTCAGGTCTTTGTTCTACAGAAACAAACAAGAGAGAAGTCTGACCTTACCCAGAATTCCAGAGCCTTTGAAGATGGAGTACTTAGTGCAAGGCTAAGCTAGCTGTAGCTTTGATGTGTGCAGCTTTTTTAAGCTCAAAGGCTCCTCTTGATCTAGAGGTACACATTTGCTACCTGTTACCATCTACTTTGTAAGGATATGTTTTATTCTTGTCCTGAAGGAGCCCAGCATGAGTAGAGATTGAAGGCTAAAATACTGTTGGTGCTATTTATCCATAAAAAAGCTTTGGCTCATGAACTTCTGTCCTGTTTGCAACACAGCAACCCCCGTCCCCCACCTCCATCTTTTCTTTTAGTCATTTGAATCTCATCCTGACCATAAATAACCATCTGACCTTCCGCTTTCCTGCATCTTCTTTACACTATTCCTAACAAAGATGGAGTATATGTTCTAAAACGTCCTTTTGCCCAAACCAAACACCAAATGTTTGATTTAAACACTATAGTAGAATCATAGTCATAAAATTGTCTGTATTATTAAAGAGGTGGGGTGCTAAGATTCTCACTGTCTCCCTTTGAGTCCGCTCAAAGCCCAGGGCTCTGAACCTTTGAAGTCTAAAGGAGCAGCTCCCTATATGCATAGGCTGTGTGCGTGTGTGTGTGTGTGTGCGTGCGTGTGTGCGTGTGCGTGTGTGTGCGTGTGTGCATGAAATATTTGCATTTAAAGAAAATGGAAGGAGGAGAGATGGGACATTCCTCCAGCGAAATGTTATCGTTTCCTTTTCTTTATTCCCTAGAAATCCCCTTGGTGGGATTGGACTGGGACGTTCTCTGACCTCTTTATATCTTCATATTAGCCATCTCTTTTGTAAGACAAATAATTTTGTATGAAAATGAGGCTGCCTGGTTGTGAAATTTACTTAAAATCATCAGCTGGGTATACAAGAAACTTGACATAATTGAGTTGCCCTAAAGAAAGCAGCAGCTCAACACAATGTGGTGCCACTAAGCTCTCATAGACAACACAAATGTGTTCCTAACATGATTTCTAGTAAGATCTGGCTTTTTTAATGTCACATAACTGAAACTAAGTTAATCATGAGTGTGTTACAACAATTGCCATAAAGACCATACTATTACAACTTAAAGCTGCAACATGTAGCAAATACCAAAGGGCGCAGCCGCACCAGTGAGGTGTCACCAGAGCATGGGTGATGAGCTCCGTAGCAGCGGAGCGCATCAGGCGCGAATAAAAGACAGAAAGTACCAGAGAATATGAGCAGACATGAACGGAATATATTTTTTGGTTGCGCCATTTTGAGAATGTTAGTGTGGACGCAAGGCTTTGAGCACATCAACAATCAGCACTCTGCCGCTCTCCATCCTCTCCACTCAAAGAATCCTGGTACGCTGAGTGTTCATATAAATAATGTAATATGGTGTGTAAGTTGAGGGCATCTAGGGGAGCCTATCACCCTTTCAGGGAAGCTAGGCTCCCCTTAGCTCCCCTGTAATTCAAACCCTGTTCCTAGGCCATGTCAGCCTGATGCTGGAACCCGCATTTCCAGAGTCAACGAGATAGCGCTGAACACCAGTCATTGTTTTCTAGGTCCAACCATCTTTTGTTGTCTGTGACTTAAAATGGTGTTTTTCTTTTAGGGACTCTAGTAGTTTGTCCCAAAGTGGTAACAGCTGGCTGTTTCTCCTTCTCTGATATTATTGAGCAGAGAACCTCTCACACCTGTGGTGTTCTGTTGCTAAATTTGTAAGCACATGAGTGGAGGCCACATGTTGATGGGGAAGTGCAGTGGTTTGGTGAGACAGACCAGTCGTTGGTTTTGGTCCGAGTCGTGTTATTGTCTTAGGCTTTTAGACAAATGCAAGAAAACCATTTCATTATTAATTTTTGTTTTTAAGAGGAATGAAAACACGTTTTAAGCTAGCTTGTTTTGCTCATTTGCAATTGTATTTAAGAAAAAAGTCATGGTATTTCTCCTTTAAATTAGCCCATCTAAGATGCACACCTTTCCTAAAACACACAAATAGACAAAAAGTGAAGCTCATGTTTCCTGGAGCTGATGTGTGGTACAGGAGGATGAGTTTAACCGGCTCCAACCAGCTGTTACTGTCAGTGTTTGTGTCAGCTAATAAATTACATGGTTGTTTAATTCTTTCAACCCTCAATTTATTTTCATTTTGCAAAGTAAAAACAATAACAATTGAACTATTTAGAATTTTTGTAAAATAAATCTAAAGCTTTTTGGTGGTTCACCCTGAAAAAAGCATCTGAGTGCTTTTTTAAAATCACCTAATAGAGAATGGTTTTCTTCCTGATCACATAACGATTTAAGTTGTGGCTCAGGAGGATTTTCTGGAAAACGCAAACCGTGGCTTTGATCACACTTTCCTTTCCTTTAATCTTTTCATCCAGTGTCATCACCGACACCGAGGAGTGGCGTTACTTCAAAGCCCTGACCAAAACTCCTACTCAATTGGAGGAGAACATGTTTCATGAGAAGGAAGGTGCAGCAGGTCCGGCGGTTTACCTCCGGCCTAAAGAAACTGTCCACATTCCTCTGAAATACCAGAGCTTCACATGCAGCCACACCATGGCCACCCAGGTAAAGAGGGGGAGCCCGACGCAGCTTTTTTAAATGTTTGTTTTCTCATTTCTGTGTTGTTGGGGGTGGGGGTGGGGGGCTTGGATGGAAAATTGTAGCCAGACTTGTCCTTTCTGCTTCTTTAGTCCAACTTTATCCCTAAAGTCGGTGGATTTAGTTTTACAGAAGGAACCAGCTGTTATACCACCCCATCTACACTTGAGGAAGATTATAGGGAGCTCTTAAACTTTTGTTCTATCACAAACTGACAAGAGTCTTTTGCAGTCCGCTGGTCTTGACTGTAAAAATGTGTTTTTGTTATGAGGAATCCATAGAGGTAAGACGGGGATCCAGTTGCTTATGTCACTATGGATCACTAAGCTAATAACTACAGCTAATCTGTCAATGTATCAAAATGTGTTTTAATCAAAACAACCATTCAAACACAATAGGACATAATAACATCAACAACTCATCGGGGGGGTAGGGAGGAGGGGTATTTATAGGTAGTTTCAGCTTGTTAAGAAACAGCCAACAGCTACAGTTTATAGGCGACTCTCCCAGATTCCAGTCAGTTTTGACAAAGCTCTTCAGGTGAGAAGGAGAACATCAAGAAACCAGAAGAGTCCAGGGGCCTTTATTTGAATCATTTGGCTTGTCATGATGTGCATGACCGAAAACCTTCACCAGCACAATGTGTATTCCATTTAATCTGTCAAAAGTACAGTTCAGAACAGCTGTAGTTTTCATTTTAGTCTTTTTTTATGGATTGCTGATGATTCTGTGCTTTTTGGTTAATCCTGCTTGGTGTCATTTACAGTTTTGTTGCAGGGTGTGTAGATGTAATCTGTTTTGCATCTATTTGCTGTATTATAATTATTTTTCTTTTGCTAGATGTTAAGTTCTGATAATGATTCTGTTTCTTATCAAATCCTCACAGGGACCAAGCTTCCTGCCTTCAGGCAAAGGTGCTCAAACAGCCAAAAGGAATCAGTCCAACATCATTAACGCCAAAACTATCAAGGTACCGAGTGTGCTTTTAAGCCTCGTGCAATCTTTTTAAAATAATGAACCATGTTTATCTCCATCTGCAGCTTTTTTGCCTTTTCATATCAGATGCATATTTTTTTCCTTTTGCAAGATCTTTATTGTGCAGTAACTAATTTAAAAATACTAGTTACATAAAGTTGGTGCATCTTCACCGTAAGAAATGAAAAGTTGAATTTACTCAACCAAGTTACGTCCACTTAACCAAGTTGAATGTTAAGAGTAAATTATGTTGTTATGATAAAAGTAAATGTATGTTACTCTTTACAGTTAAGCAACTAGGGTTAGTGGAACCATGTTGACTTAACTTGGTTGAGATAATTCAACATTTTATTTCTCAGAGTGTTTCTGTGTCTTAAATTCAGTCTACAGTACGAATCTTTTGATTTGGAGCTTCATTCGGGTTTACCTTCTCCTCCATACAAAAGCCTAGCATCTTGTGTACACACCAACTCCCAGACAATTCCCAGAGGAAAGGCTGTGCACCGTCTTCACCCTCCTCTCGTCTCACACAGACACAAAAAACACTTTGAACTTTTCACAGACTTACACAAGCCAGATGAGACTGTTCAGTAAAATTACCAGCTGGAATTGTTTCAAAGTAAATAAGTAATGTTTCTTTTGAATCCTATAAAATAAAAATACGATTCTATCTGCAACGTTTAGCTTAGCCTTGCAATTAGCAAGCTATCAGTTACCCCTTTGCTAACCTGCGTTACCTCATGCTTTTCTTGATGTTAGCCTACCGTACCCAAAGCTCTCACATTGCACAGAGTGATGAAATGTTTGCCAGTCTGCCAAACATTTGTGTTTCTCTCCCCTTTGTGTGTATTGTGCACCAAAGTCAGCACTGCTGCTCTGAGAAAAAAATCCTGTCAACAGGTCAAAAAGGTCAGGTCTGGATCAAATCTGTATCCCGCTAAAACTGACAAGTCCCAACAGCAGAGCTGTCAGTGTGCCAGCTTTGGCTCTGCTGTCAGTCAGCATACATCACAGGAGCCAGATATGGGCCGCTCCTGCAAGTCAACAAGGGGCTGCAAATCTGACACATCCATGGTTTGGACAGCTGCTCCATGTTCAATGAGCAGACTGTTTAAACTTATCTCTCATGACTGAATATGTAGATCAGTCAGGAAATCTGAATTCTTTGCTCAAATGCTTTAGTTGTTACGAGTTGCCTCCTATGCTGCTAGTTACTCGTATGTGAATGATGAACTGATCTGGAAAAAAACATAAAGTTGGGGACTACATCTCTATTCAGGGAGAAATTTAATTTAGTGGAAACACATTTGCTGCAGTCTCTAGTATAAATGAATGCCTTGTGAGTCCATCTCTGTGGGGAAAAGAGCTCTGGCGCTCCTGTTTCAGTAAGTAGAAGTTAGCCAAAGCGGAGGGAAGCAGCACATGGCAGGTCTTACTTCCTGATATTTAGATGTCTCGCCTCTGATTGGCTAACAACGTGACTGACTGCTTACTTTGCAACGCTGATATTTTATCTTCACAAATAACACAAGTCTGTCATGTTCTGGAGTTGCTAATGCTAACGGTTAGCTTCTACTAGCCCAGTAGTGCTCTTCTCTTTCCTGGAAGCCAAATCAACAACAGGCTCCTCCGTTGCGAGCCAAGATGGGTCAGTCCATGAATGCTAACTTCACAGCGCTTTGTGATTTATATCTGTGAAAGGCGCTATATAAATATACTTTTACTTACTTACTTACTTACAGTATGACGTGCAAATGGCGTTTGTAATCCGAGTTTTCCCCGTCTATTTTCTGTTGGCGGCTAATGCAGGAAATAGGGGTAGAAGACGATTTTCACCTTCAGTCTGCATGTTGAACTTAGAGTGAATGATTATATTTCTAAAATACAGACGGGTTTCTCAGTGAACTTGATCTTTAAGAGTGATACTAAAGAAAAGTAATATGTCACATACATGTCATATGTAGGCTTTAGCGCTCAGATCAGCTGTGCAAAGCTTTCAGACCTTAATTAGCTTGTTAGAACGGGGTTTCTCAGCGGCGATTCAACTTTCCAAAGCTGCCTAAAATCCCCTCAAACCTGGTCCCCAGATTGGCATCCAAGGGTTGCTCAAAGCAGATGCTTAGCACTCAGAACATTTACATAACTGATGCTCTAAAAGAGAGAGAAGACTATCAGAAGATAACCCTCTGAGTTTTTCTTTGTAGGCTGTTTTTTAAAAGGAAATCAAGGAAAAGTAGAGGTCAGGCTGATAATTTTAGGACAGAAAATGAAGTAAGAGTCAAATGAAATCCCTCGTTTGTCTAGAATTAGGATTTTTTTTTTTAGCAAACTCTGACAAAGTGTCTGACTGTTCTGTACAAACATGACCTTTGTGTGGGCGATGTCAGAAATGTAGTTTCGCTGTAGAGATTGTCTAACATCTCACAAGAGAAAGCCAGGCTGCTGGAGCCACTGACTTTTAACCTTTTCTTCACAGGTCACGTTCAAAGCCGATGATGGGAAGCCAATGGCCATCTGCCAAGTGAGCGTGGAGCCAACACCTCACGCTGTGGACCAGACGTTCCGACTTTACCACCCCGAACGTTGCTTTCTTAAAAAAGCCATCCGCCTGCCACTGTGGCACGACCCCACAGGTTGCTGATGTTATCCCATTTTTTTTCCACTTCATCCATTGCTCCCGATGCCACAGCATCTGCTTGTGCTTTCATGACTAAAGCTAATACCTCACAGGGCTGTAACTGTGGTTGTGGAAAATATGCAAAGATTCAATAGAAGTCACACTGAGTCTGTATGTATGACATTTTTTAAACACATTTTAAAAATTCCCAGGTCACATGGGGCATATGACATCATCCTATGGAATCAATACAGACTCATCAGGATATGACTTTTTTAGTAGACATTCAGTTAATGACATAGATTTTTTTCTTAGAAATTATGTATTTAAATTTGTTTCACTTAAAATGCGCCTGCAAAATTTTCCTCCATAAAAATATAACCGCAGAATTTTAATGTAAACATTTCATCAGAAAAAATAATTCAACAACTGAGGTGACCTCTTGATGACCCAGGCCAAAGCAATCGTCACCTGATTGAGTTGATTGGCTAAAAGCCGGTCGACCCGATCCAATTTTTGCTGATGAAAATCTTATGTTGAAATTCTGCAGTTGAATATTTACAGATTAAAGTTTAGCTGATTTATTTTAAGGAAAAAAATGAAAATCAAATACATAATTTCACAGAATAAAAGTTCTATGTTATAAATTCAATGTCTAATAAAAGTCTTATCCTGGTCAGACGGCATTTCTTCCCTTTCATTCTGGTTAAATTGAAATAATTGTGCAACACTGAAGCACATTGTTATCATGCATTTATTCACAAAGAGTCTCACTCGTCTCAATTTACCCTTTTTATTCAAACACTTGTAACCAATTTCTCCCCAAATTTCCTCAAATTTCTTGTGTTTTTACCTCTGAAACCAAAGTGAGAAGGATTCCTCTTGGCCTGTTGCTTATTTTACTATTATGAGGAGATTTTTTTTTATTTCATGTTTAAAGCTTTAGCGATGCAAGAGCAGGCCTGTGACACCCATGCCCAAGAAAAGGGAGTCTTTGTGAACGTTCTGACATTTGAAGAACTCCTTTGCAAACCCACCCCAGTTAGGTGCTTGCGGTTGTATAGACTAGTAGTTTTGTATTGGAATCAAGTTTTTCTTCACTCTAAAAAGTTTGAAGAACAGGACAGATTCTTTTATAATTATTAAACACCACTGAATTCATTAATAAATGTTTTCTAAATAAACACCTTATTTATTATTTATGTGTTAACCAACAGAAACCCCAGATTCCAGGACTCATATTTCTGTGCGCTGTAGTGACCCTAACGTCATCTGCCAGACAAGGATGCTGGTGAGATGCTCTTCTTTTCTCGCTCTGATCACACATGCATTACTGTGTGTTTTCTGCACTGACATCGCTCCATTCCTGATGAGGTTGGGTCACCACTTTACTCCATTTAAACCTGTTGCTCCCGATTTCTGTTTTTTTGCAGGCGTCGGAGGAGCCTCAGGATGTGTACTTGAAAGTGCCCGGGAGTCCCAGTCCACACATCAAAACGTTCTTTGTGATGGTTTTCACGTGCGTATCACTTACACAGACCAGCTTCGATTTACTCACAACTAAGTAATGCACATTTTTTTATCAGCCCCGCCCCTTCCAACGATCTGAAAGATTACCATAACAACTCTAAAGATAATCATGGCAGATAATCCTACCGTTTGTGGTGTGTTAGGAGAGCTCTAGTACGCTCACGTCAGGACCGATTCATTCATAAACCCAGACATGTTGGGTTTTCGGGGACAAACGAACGCGCTGCCTGTTGAATCGTCCATGTTTGTTTACTTCATTGTCACCTTTTATCTCGTGTTACGTTTTTTTCTCATCAACATGAGATAGAATTATAGCAAAAAGCTAACAAAACACAGAAGCAACAACAATAATATTATATTATAATACATTTCCAAACAAATTTCATGCTTTTAAATTACTAATTAAATTATCTCAAAAAGATTATTTTTGTGCATCAGTGAACAAGAATGTGAGTTGCATGTTTGTTCACTGATCCAAATTCAAGACAAGATCCACCAGATTAGAGTTTTTCCTGTAAGTTTCTCAGCTGGCAGAGTGAGCTGTTGTCATGTAAAAATGTGTTTGAGTTAGACACCAAACCCTGATAGCAGGTGCACCCTCTGTCTTCTTAGTGTGAGCTTTTGTGTGACAATAGACTCAAAGAGGAGCCAAAACTTGTTAATCACAAATGTCATACGTGTAGCTACACAGGAAATGATCTCATTAGCTTCACAGTAAGCTCTTAAGTATGTAGCATTACTGCTGCAGTTATTATAACAAATCGTCGGTAATTTAGATTACCAGCATCAGACATCATGCTGGTTAGTTGGGTGATTCGGGTTCTCCGTTTGTTTGAAAACATCCCAGGAAACCATTAGGAACCAACACAATGAAGTGCTACTGGAAGTTCAAAGCAATTTCTCCTCATCTATGATTTTCACCGAGTCTCTGTGTTTCCTCCAAAGCTCATATTGTGTCACTGTAACTGCAGAAGTTCCAAAAGGCTCCCGGTGAGCTGTTGTCTCAGAGCAGAGAGGCGAGGAGGTGACTCCTGCCGCCCACTCACAGCCAGCTTGGGCCTCTGAGGCTGTGTTCCCTACATTTCACCAGTGAGAGGATGATTGTGATGTTTGGGCTTATTAAAATGCCAGTGCAGCTGTAGATCAGCTCTCCTCATTTCCAACCTCATGCAGCACCTGCAGCACCTCCAGGGAGCCATGGTCTAATTGCATTTGATTATGCTGACTTGTTATTTTGTTTATTTATTGTTTGTAGCGATAGGCGGATGACAGCGCCCTCCCAGATCTGGCAGGTGTACGTGCACTTTCTGGAGCGGGTGGACATCAGCTGTGTGACTGGCCAGCGGAGCTGTCAGTCACTCGTCCTGAGAGGAAAGCAGACCACTCGCAAGATTAAATGTTTCTCATCGCACCCCAAGGAGGCTGAGGTAGAGCAAAGCACATCCCTGGTGGGGATAACACTTGTTTGGAGGAAGGAACATAAACACAATGGTGTTCTGGTGTCATCTGCTTGTGGGATAAGAACATCGTAGCTGCATGTTTTTCAGTCTCAGTCTAAAATATCTGAAAATTATCACGGAGCTTCTTTTTTTGTAGCAACAGCTTGTTTTGTAGGTTTGCACAACTTCAACACATCCACAAAGTGTCGTTTAAAGTTTCTCTCTTCGTGTGTTTTCTTTCCACTCATCACCACAATTTTAAACTTGACATTGAAGATTCTGTGTGCTTCTGAACACGAGCACATCCATCTCTGTCAGAGTCGTGGGCCTCACTGGTATCAGGAAAACAACTTTCAGCCAAAATAGGAGAACTGCCTATTCAAACGAATCCAACTTGATCTGACTCTGTGGTTTCCTCGGGTCCACGATTAGAAACTTGAGGAAGATTGAGTCAGTGGCTGAACACACACACACTAATACGGCCAGAAAAAATCCTTTTATTAGTTAGATGAAGACGTCTGAAAGTGAGTTATGTTTACTTCTTCACGACTGTCTGAAGGAGTGGAGGAAAACTTTAGTACACCCAAAATAACAGTAGTTGTGTTGAATACATGCTATGACAGAAGTCAAGCGGTGAAGCGTTTTCAATCAGCAAATGTTAATATCACACGCAAAAACAACTAATTAAAACAAAATACAATGTAACAATGATTTTGTTTATTAAAGGAGACATGTCATGACTTATTTCTTTGGTTGGTACAAAACACGATCTTTGCATAAAATCTCGCTAACATAAAGCAATTTCAGCCGTTTTACTGTTGACATGTTCAGTGCCATCCTGAGTGAGCTGCTTTAGGGCCCTGTTACTTTAATGTAACAGTGTGTATTTTTCCTGGCGATAGGGGACAGTACATGCCTAAATCGTTGCAAGCAAGCAGTATTTTTGTGTTGGAGTAAGACCTTACCAACGGATGCCCATTAGGGTCAAAAAGCCCTGGGAAGTGCAAACTTTAGGAAAATAACGAGCACATCAGACTCCCTTTCATCACTGGCAACAAGTGAAGAGGTAAATGTGTAAAACAACAACATTTAAGAATGGAGAAAGTTTTGTAACCATTTGTTTGAAATCAGTAAATTCATTTTAACCTCACGGGCTCCTGTAGAAGGAAACGTGGCATCTAATATGGCATCGCCCAGAGACTTAGACCTGCTCCCATATATTTTAGACCTGATTTTTATGGTTATATGTTAAAAGCCGCCAATATTTTTCAACAACTGGGCATCATTTCATTCATTTTCAACAACATATTGATGGATGTTACCAGAGATTAATGGTAAAAACTACACATTGTTTCTTTAAAGCAACACTAAAGAGCTCTAAACTCTTTAGGTTATTCCTTTAAAAGTAAGTTTCAGTGATTCTGTAGGTAGAAACTTTACCAACTTCAGTGTAGACAGTGCTCTACTTGCCAGAAACAGCACTAGAGAGAGGTCTCTACCTACGTTACGCCTGCTAGTTGTTTACTTGGCAGAAAGTCAATATAAAGGCTAACAGTTAGCTTTTTAAGTTTGCAGACCATCAAAAAGCACAAGAATAATAATACGTTTTCTCTTTTTTTGTTGGCGTCATGGTGGAGCCTGGAAGTAAAAGTAAGAGAGGGATGTCTTGAAGGTGAAGCAAAGATCTAAAACCAGACTGAACATCAGTGTGAACTACATTAGCTTGAGGGAGCTAAAGGTGGCTACAGAATCATGAACTTATGGTGACCTGGCTTTGTTGCTACAGGACCTAGAATTTTTTTTTTGTCCAACACTGTGGATCTTTTTACTTTGTGGTTTATTTAAGTATTAGTTGGCTCATGTTAGCATTAGCTTGTTGTTTGCACAAGCTACAGCAGGTTGCTGCAGGGTTGGTTACAACAGTTGTAATTCCACTTTCAACCAGTAGGGTGGAGAAGCTGGAAACTGCTTAACACAATTGTTCCACCGTTATAACATGAAGTAACAGTGATTTACCAGATTTTCTGGAAAGCTACAGTCAGTCCCACGCACCAGAGTGCAGCCTGATTATTACCAGACTTGTAGAATTAAGACAACACAAAGTTTGCTAAAAGATCTCAAAAAGCACCAAAGACATCAAGAACTGGAATTATTCAAATCAGAACCAAAGAACGCTGGAAAATATTCTGTGGATGTGTGTGTCACATTACATTTGGAGTAAAAATAATACTGAATCAAACTCTTGAATAAATACATTACTTTGTTTTTTTGTTGATATTTTTTACACAGCACAGTAAAAAGAAACAAAGTAATGGATTATGAAGTTACACACAGAACGAATGTACAAAACTCTTGAATAAATGTTTTTCTTTACCAAACCTCATTTGGTTCTTACTGAGGCGTTCATTTAAAGATTTAAAAATGACCAATGTGACATAACTGGACCTTTACGATAAAACCCGCTTATTAACTTTCACTCAAAAGAAGCAAATGAAACAGCGCGACTGAATCACAGCAGCTCAGATCGCCCTGTAATCAATACACATCTTATGAAAGGCTTCTCAGGTTCTCAGAATGAGCACTTCTCAAAATGCACATTCAAAAATGGTTTCTGCTAATTGTTTTCCTCGCAGCAGGAAGCAAGTGAAGTGCAAGTCTCTTTGTAAAAACCACATGTTAAGAATGAAGTCATTATCAGAAATACACAAATGTGTATGAACAGCATGTTTCCTTTTATGTAAATCCATTCCACTTTATTGGTTTTCTCTGCTTCTTTTTATATTTTGTGTTTGAGCTTCTGAAAAATGATCACCGGCCTCAGTTATTAGAATAGAAATGTGCTCCAAGCACATCGTTTAACAGATTGTTTCTTATTTATATTAAACACAAGAGCAGGAGACCCACTCAGCGTTGCACTAAAGCAGTATTTTATTTCTAACGGATTGTCACCGTTTCCACGTGAGCACACTGAGCCACCCTAATGTGTTTACCCTGCAGAAATGGGGTACCGTCTGAAAAAGTGACAGATGTATTTTTCAAAGAGTTCACCGTGTGCATCAGCCGCAGCTTTGATCCGACTCTCAGCAGGTTTGGCTCACTGTGGAATGCATCGGAGGAGTCCTACAAAACAGGATAAAGCTCAGCTTCAGAGAATAGCTTCTGCTTTTCTCAACAGATTGAAACCGAGCTGCACAGTAAATCTCAGCCTCACATCCTCGTGCCTGTCACTTCTTAGCCTCAATGCTCTCTCACTTTATTGTCTGCCCCCTCTTTTTGCCTCCTTCACTGAATCTAATTCTACTCTTCTTTCACCCTGAACACCCGCTTTACCTTCCCCATCTCTTTTAAACACCCTTTCTTATTAGTGTTGTCCCTTTTCACCTCTTCTTCCCCTTTCCTGTGTCACACTCACTCTGCCACTTGTTCAATAGCTCTATTTCCTTGTATTGTGTCGTGCCTCATTCTCATAAGCCATCCCAATCAACAGCATCTCATCACCTTGCCGTCAAATCCAATCAACCTTCCCTGCCTTCGCCCTCTCTGCAGGTGGACCCGGCTGGTGTGTTTGTTTTGCCTCCTGCGGCTGTGCAGGAGCTCCAGCTGAAGGTGCAGCCGTGGCAGGCCGGCAGTCGCTTCCTGTATGTGAACGCCGTGGACATGGACCAGCAGCGGCTGGTCACTGCCTGGCTCCTCTGTCTTAATGTCCACCGTCCTGTCCTGTCTAAGGTAGAAATACTGTTTCCTTGGTATTAGTACGTAATATGCATGTTATAATGTTTGCATTAACAGTAAGCACAAGTCCTCCGCTTTGTGGGATATCCGTGTAAAAAACAGCCGGGATGGACGATGTAATGTAGCCACAGCTGCCCTGGGGCACACTGACAGAGGCTTCCTTGCATTTTTTACATTTTTAAAATTTTTATTTAATCTTTTAACATTTTAGTGAGATTTAAAAATTTTATCTATTTTTTTATTTATTTTTTAAATTTCTTTGTGTGCTTGTGGTGCTTCTTGTGAATTTTGTCCTCATAGGTGCTATACAAAAAAAACATTTTTCTTCTTCGTTTTATCTTTGTCTTCTTCTTCTTTATCACACATGAACGTCTGAATGAGAAATAAGAAAAAAGAACAGGATCTTCTCAGAGTTAGAAGATGATGAATGATAAGGAAATAAGGAAATTAAACTTTATTGCACAATTCCAGCCTGGAAGACTGTAGGAATTCAGCTCTTCTAGGAAGTTTGATGAGATTTAATCCTTTAACATCCCTGGAGACTGTACCGGCCGCTCCATTAAACTCAGAAATCAGAATGTCATAAAAGACAAAAATGTCCACGTCACACTTTTAAGCAGAAATCAGAAACCTCGTGGTGTTTCAGAATGAAACGGAATTAAAGATGCAGTCTTAATTAGTTGTTTTAGCCTTGTTGCACCGTCTGTCAACAGAAGCAGGAATATAGTAATCAAAAGTTAAAAGAACCTGTTTACCTGTGTAGTATTCTGAGCACAGGAAATGAGAGAGAAGAGAGATTAAAAATGTGATTATAACAAAAAAATCTTTTTCTGTTAATCAGTGAGATCATCTAACGTGTTCATTTTGGGTGGCTCAAGATTCCAAGTGGTGATCTACAACCTTTGTGTGTGTGTGTGTGTGTGTGTGTGTGTGTGTGTGTGTGTGTGTGTGTGTGTGTGTGTGTGTGTGTGTGTAGGCGTTTGAAGTGTGTGTCCCGGTCGGCGATGGACGCGGCAGCTCCAGGAAAATCTCCTACACCAACCCTTACACCAGCAGCCGTACCTTCGTGCTCCGCTCTGACCATCCGGACCTGCTCCAGTTCAAGGAGCAAAACTTCCGGGTAAGGTGAGATGGGAGGTTACACTCCTGTTGGGACTAAAATCAATACTTGATCAACACTCCAAAGCTCATCATAGAGTCTCCTCGGACTGGCTTCTAAAGGTCTCTTATTTACAGGGTATCCGCGGGTCCTTAAAAAGTCTTAAATTAGCTTTTCCTAATTTAAGGCCTTAAAAGTCCTTAAAAATGACAAATAATCCTTAAATCCAGTTTCCAAAGGTCTTAAATGACCAAAGACCCAATAAACAAGATTATTTTATTTCTATAAAAATTTCGTGAATTTCTAGTTAGTGTTCATTATTTTTTGTGTATGATTTTGGCGTAAGCGGAACCGTGCGCAGTCAGTTGGTTCTGAAAGGGGTCTATTTTTTTAGATGAGCACATTAGCTGGTTAAGCTAGTGGGAGCTTGCACCATGGGGAAGGGCAAGTTTAATGGTAACTGGATGGCTAATCCCACGTTCGCGACGTGGTTAGCACCGGTTCCAGGCAATAGCTGGAAATTATCGCTTAAATTTAATTTTTAAAATAGCTTAAATTTGGTCAAAGTGGCCTTAAAAAAGGTCTTAAAAAGTCTTAAATTTGGCTCCCTTAAATCTGCAGATACCCTGTATTTATTTATAAAATAAAGAAAATAAAAAACTTTATTACTTCTGCTTCACTAATTGCAGCCAAACGTCTCCGATTAGTCTGGGATCCGCTCCTGAATCAGTCTTGTAGCTTTTAATCAGAATTATAAAATCAGATGAATGTTATTCCCATAAACTAAATGGCTCTTGTTAGTCCTTGACACTGACCTCATTAGAAATACAGTTTCATTCAAAGCAAAGCGACCATTATGAACTAACTTGTGTCCGTTCCTCGGCTGTTTGCCTCTCTTTTCCACATCAGATCGGGAGTAAAATAACAACCATTACTGCAGCTTTCACGTCATGTGGTCGGCTTTAGTGTCTCCCTCTCATTCCAGCTAATAACGCCGTAAAAGCTGTAGCCGATGTCACCGTTTCCATTCATCTGAAACAACAACGGGGATTCTGCAGTTTTTAGAAATAAATGCAGGAGATGCAACAGGAGCCTTTCTGAACATAAACAATTAGGGAGCCATGCTGCGTTTAGCCTGGAGACACTTCATCATTATTAAAGCGCTGGGCAGGAGTGAAGAACTGTTTGCTTTCACCTTGTCAGAGTGTCTCCAGGTATCTTTAAAAGGATCTACTGTGTCTGTAGAGTTACACAGATGTGTTTTTCCCTCCATAAAACAAGCTGTCAGCAGGACAACTCCTAAAAAACAAAAAGAAACAATCAATACTGCGATGTTTTAGGAAAGATTACAGCATAAATCCCCCAAATTGACCCTTTTTTTTGTGGCTGTAAAAAAGAAGCAGGAAGACAGTTATGGTTTGACTGAAATATGGTGACCATAAACAAAAACAACAAACATTCACCTTGCAGGCTTTGGGCACTGACAACAAAAGCAATGCCACATTCAGTGCTTACTCCCTCTAATTAGAGAGAAAAATCATCCAAAATGCAGCCTGCAAAGAGAAAGTGGTAATTTATGCAGAACCGAATGGAAAAATGAGAGACTGCACCGTCAGGAGGTTAAAGAAACTGAGAAACTGTTTTGTCTTTTTTCTGTAATTACCTTCATATTCACACGCTGCCTATGACTTAGGAGGAACATGAATGCTGCGTGGGAAAATATTTAGCTTTTATTTTGTTATTTAGGACTTTAATGTACTGCAAACATGTTTTATTTTTCCAGACAAATTATTATAATTACTGCTAACCTGATGAGTGTGCTAGAGTCATGAAACAAATACAGCATTTTACAGAGATGTGTCGCAGTATTCTATTCTTCTCAGTTGAACGACTTATTAAATGTGGTTCACAGCTTAAGTGACACCATAAAGTGTTTATATGTGACTGGTTTTAATCAGTTCCACAACTAGTATTCAGTTTGTTTATTAGCATGTTTGGTAAATTTGTTGATTTTATTCATTTTTGAACATAATAAATGAAAATTTCCTTTAAGTGAATATTCTGATTGTCACACTGGTCTCTCCTGGTCTTATGTGCTTTACAGTAAATACAATAAAGACCAAGTTCACTCCTTTTTTAAGATATTTGCAGTGGCCTCTACTGTAAATGAATGCCTTGAGAGTCGATCTCTGCGAGAAAAAAAGCTCTGGTGCTCCTGTTTCAGTATCTAGAAGTGAGCCAGAGCAAAGGGGAGCAAAGATGACAGGATTTGGAGTCTTACTTCCTGATATTTGGACACGTCTCCTCTGACTGGCTAACAGCAACACGCCAACATTGATGTGTTATTTCCACAAATAACACAAGCCTAGGGGAGTTCTGCTGTGTGGTGGGGTTGCTAATCCTAACAGTTAGCTTCTACTAGCCGAGACGTTCTCTGATGTCTCCTGGACGCTAAACCAACAACAGCCTTCCCCATTTTGAACCAAAATGGGTGAGTCGATGAATGTTAAGTGACACTGTGACGCAGATCTGACTGAATTTTGTAATCCGAGAGTTTCATCCTCTACTTCCTATCAGTAGCTAATGCAGGAGATAGGTGTGAAAAACTCAGAGTGACCCATCATATTTAAAAAATAATACATTAAAAAAAAAGATTTCTCAGTGAACTTGGTCTTTAATACTAGATGTTTTTTTTTTTTTTTTTTGTTTTGACTTCCAGATTCTGGTTAGATGTTCATATATCAGTAAGATGATCCGTCTGGTTGAATACCTCATCAAACAGCCAAACAAATACCCACGTGCTTTCCGTTAGAAGCTAGTACACATTTTACTAAGACAACTGCATCAGCTAAACACTAGAATTTAGACTTTTTGCTGAGGAGCTAACTTTAGCTAGCTGCTAACATCCAATCAACCCAGACATCAAACATCTGATTTTAAACTTAAGGTTCTAAAAAACACAAATTTGGATCAACTTTGCGTTACTGTTGCTCATTATGTCACACAAACGGATTTTCTGATTTTAAATCCAGATTTATACCAAAAAGATCAGCAAGAAGGTGAGCTGTGCTCTACCTTCCACATGTAATCGACATGTTTTGGGCTTCGCTTGTTGGTAAAACCTCAAAATAAAAAGAATAAGCGATTCTTCATGAAAAATACCAGGATGTCACTGTCAGTATTCTGTTGTAGCACCCTCTGTTGCTGATTGTCTGAAATAATAACACACACACACACACACACACACACACACACACACACACACACACACACACACACACACACACACACACACACACACACACACACACACACACACACACACACCAGCTGGCAGTGTGAAAATGTGCAACCTTTATAAAAACGATTCTGGGGTGATTAAATCAACCTTTAATATTTAACGTATTATGAAACCCATCTAGATCTCTGATATCGAGCTGGTTCAAAACACACACTGATGAAGTGTGTGTGTGTGTGTGTGTGTGTGTCCAGATTGGCGGTGGAGAGACCTACACCATTGGACTCCGGTTCGCTCCCAGCCAGAGTCCAGGCTCAGCAGAGATCCTGATCTACGTGAACAACCTGGAGGAGAAAACCGAGGAGACTTTCTGTGTCAAAGTCAGCTATTCATGAGTTGCACCAGTGAAACAACAAATCTACTTTCATATCAGAACTTACTTCAGCTATTTGTAGAACGAGCTCATTTTGCAGGTTGTTACAACTATTTTCTGTAAACTGGTTTCCACTGTAATTTGTAAGAAATAAACGAAAAGTGCACGAACTCGTATTTTGATTCAGCAAAGCATCACTTTTACTGCAGCTGCCGATTCCCAGCAGTGAGCTGTCCACTCATGCGTCCAGTAGATGTTTGACAGTTCAGAGCCATGTGAGAGCAGGATGAGGGTGACAGCAACAACATTCCTGCTCCTCTGCTTGCTCGCTAAATCCACTCCCAACTGTCCAGGTTTGATCAGAAACCAGTCAGGGGCTCGCTTTTCAAGTCTCCCCACATTCTAAACATCGTATCGTCATCATCGGCTTTATTAGAAGCAGCGCTGTAATGAAGTAGGACTTTCCCCCCTCTTTTAGCGAGGCACATCTCTCCACATTGCCCTCATTAACACCAGCACCCTTTTAAACCCTCCACTCTCTCCTGCTGCTTGCTTGCGCTCTGTGTTTCCCTGTGTGAGGTGCTCAGAGGGAGACGGCCGTGCATATTGTGTTATATAACGGAGTTACACAATCCCTCCACTCCCCCACGCTCCCTCCCTACTCGCTTTCAATCTCATTAGAATTCAGGCTGTAAAATAAGCCTCGGCACAGCAGCAAAGCCAAATAAAACAAAGATAGTCTCCAAGCTTGGTGCACTTCATCTTTATTGCATCTAACATCTTGTCTGAGGCAGATGCCTCATTGTCTTCCACATTTCATGCCACAGACGGCTTAAAAAACACAAATTAAAGCTTTACACGCTTCATCCTGCATCCCTCGCACTCGCCGGCACGTTGTTATGACGCTAAAGGACGTGTCGGACACTTTTGGACATTTGGCTGGCGGGACAGGTTTAGAAATCATTTTTGTTATTAAAGTTTATCTTAATACAACACCCAAATGAGATATGTGTGGGTTATTGGTTCCTCCTGTTCCAGGTGGCCCTGAAGTAAATCCTTTATTGCATGACTGCTTTTAAGAAATAGGACAGAGTCACAAGTCAAAGTCGACACTCTGTGCAAAAACTACATTGTCAAGTTAAGCGAAGGAAAGAAGCGTCTAATTTAGTTGTAACTTTCAAACTTTCCATCGTTTATTTTTGAATGCATTCTTTTTGTGCTTTCACCAGATAAATGAACCTCCTGGCAATAAACCCACATGATGCGTAAACCTGCAGGGGAGGATGATAACCTTGTGATTAGACTAAAAACCCCCATGGAGGATGAGATTTGTATTTTATATCTTTAGTGCAAGTTTTCTAATACAACAAAGGGCCTTAAACCTTTGGTTTTGGTTCTTTTGGTTGATTTTACTTTCACCATGCTTTTCTGCATCTGAACGTCACGATTTGATCTCAAGGGCAAAACAGTGACCATCAGTTTTAAAAAAATAAAAAGCCTTTCAAGTAGCCATTCTGTCACGTTCCCATATGTCCTGGAAAACCCGAAAAATGATTTCCAGTCATGGAAAACACATGGAAAATGGGAATGGGTCAAATGTCCTGGAAACGTAGAAGTTTTCCCTCCTTGTGGATGAACCCAAACAGATTAAACCTTTTACGTATGAATGGTTGCTTTCTGCTGCCTTCAATGGGCAATTTGGGCTGTAGCTGTTGTCTGCTTTCATTTCTGCATCTAGCCGGCACAGCGCCCCATGTGACACTACCAACCAATCACATAGCATAAAAACATTTTTGCTTCCCAGTGTTTCTATCTGCTTTATAAAACCAAAGTAAGGATTTATTCCTCCAAAGAAGAGTTGTGCCTTTGTGTGAAGTACATTTTTGGTTTTAGTGGAGCCGTAACAAACATGGCGACAGCTTCGAGATAGCGACGGGCAACAGGTGGTATTACCACACACACACACACACACACACACACACACACACACACACACACACACACACACACACACACACACACACACACACACACACACACACATATATATACACACACAGTGAGGAACATAAGTATTTGAACACCAAGTTCTCCCACTTAGAAATCATGGAGGGGTCTGAAAATCACATTGTAGGTGCATTCCCACTGTGAGAGACAGAATGTAAAAAAAAAGATCAGGAGATCACATTGTATGATTTGTAAAGAATGTATTTGTTTTGCACTGCTGGACGTAAGCATGTGAACACCTGGCAATCAGCAAGAATTCTGGCTCTCAAAGACCTGTTACTCTACCTTTAAGAAGTCCACCTCTACTCCACTAATGGGCCATTCCCATCTGTACCGGGTCAGCCGGGCCGGGTAGCGTAGGTTGTTTACATATCTGGGTGGCCTGGAATTTTCCCGGGCCAACCAAGGCTCATTCTCAGCCCTCTTCTCTAGAGGGTCTGCTTCAGGCCGACCAGGGCCAACACACCCACTGCTGACAGCAAATTCACACCTTCCATTAGAGCAAGCCTCTGATTGGTGGGTAGAATCAGCCCACATGGGCTTAAGACAAGGATGTGTGGAATCAACCGGGCCAGGCTGGGGCCGACTGGGGCTATCCAGCCCGGGCCGACCCGGTACAGATGGGAATGGCCCATAAGTAATCTTAATTAGTAGCACCTGTCTGAGCTCTTTAAAGACACCTGTCCACCCCACAGTCAGTCAGACTTCAACTACTACCATGGGCAAGACCAAAGAGCTGTCATATATACATACAGCACAGGCCAACATTTTGGACACACCTTATCATTCAATGTGTTGTCTTTATTTTCATGACCATTTACATTGGTAGATTCTCACTGAAGGCATCAAAACTATGAGTGAACACATGTGGAGTTATGTACTTAACAAAAAAGGTGAAATAACAGAAAACATGTTTTTATTTTCTTTTTTTTTTTCTAAATAGCCACCCTTGGCTCTGATTACTGCTTTGCACACTCTTGGCATTCTCTTGATCAGCTTCAGGAGCTAGTCACCTGAAATGGTTTTCCAGCTGTCTTGAAGGAGTGGGGGGGTGAAAGACAACAATCTTTGCTCAACTATGTCATCGATATAACGGTATAGGTACAATATTCTATCTGTTTCAAATATGTGGCGCTATGATGATAGTTTCTGTGTTCCGCCCAGCTCTAGTTGTGATAGCTTGACTCGTGCTGTAGCAGCTGAATAAGACTTGAAAATGAACTTTTCTACCTCACCTGTATTTCTCACCTGGCCAGACTTCCACTCTTTTCAGCATTTCAAATTTCTACCAAGTGTTTCTTACCCACAGAGCTTAATTTATTGCTGTTTTACTGGCTGCATTTCAGTGTTTCTCTTTTTCAGATTGTAGTAGCAGCCAGTAGCTTAAGGGGGTTCATGTTTGGTTATTTCTCTTCCAACGGGCTTATTCTGATTTGTCATGATCAAAGCAATCAGTTGTTCGAGGCTGCATGTTCTACTGACTAAAAGCCAACACGGCTGTGCGGCTCATTCAACGATCCCGGCCTTGCTTGTGGGCTGTTTATTCTTTTCCTTTTTTAATGCATAAAAACAAACATAAAGGTCCAAACTTGTTCTTCAAATTGCTAAAGAACCGACTTAAATGTTGTTTAAAAAGATGGAATCGCTCATTTCCACTGCCTGCTACCTCAAGAGATTTTCTGCTGTCATCTATCCCAGTTTTGGGCACATACTGCCTCCCTGACAGAAACTGGATGGTGTTTTTGGTTGTAGCTCTGCTTGTCGTGAAATCCCCGCTCATTGTGCTTTTAATATCTGGATCTTGGTCTTTGCAGCGGCGCCCGGTGTGAGCTGCACAGCCCTTCTCTCAGCGTGGGGCCGGCAGAGCTGCACTGACACCTTATTAGCAGTGCCAGTCTAGTTGTTGTCTGTTCCCCCTGAAGAAGCACAGACACCCGCCACGTCGGCTCTCGGTGTCTGCTCACCTTGTTAGTGCGGTTAGACGGCTCCTGTCTAACTGTCCATTGGAGGGGGCTGCCTTGATATTTAGCCAGGTGAGAGAGTGCCTGTTGTTGCCCTGACATGAAGGAAACCACAGCTACACGCTGGTATCTGTGTTCAGAGTGATCTTTTTCAGAGTGTGTCGGTGCCCAACCTGAGCCGCGCGAGTGGGTGCATGTCTGTGAAAGCACACAGCGATGTGCGTATCAAAGAGGTTCGTAGCTGAAGGAATATGCAACCTAGCAACCAGTCCTCCTCCTCATGTACAGTACACCGCTGGTTTAGTCCGTCTCTCTCCTGCAGGGGAGAGAAATTGTTAAATATTACTGAAAAACACTTTGAGAACACGTTACAGTGAAGAAGTTGACATTTTGGGATGGTAAATATGCATTAAGAACTATAAAGTGTGAACTAGGAGCTGTGAAGAGAAATTAATTTACCTTGTTGCCCCTCTCAGCAGGACGCTCCCTAAGCCGTGGCTGCTGAGCACAAAGGGAATGAGCTGGCTGCTGTTAGCCTGGAAACTGATCTCAGTAGATGGCGGCCTGTCACATTCATCTCTTTACCCGTCAGCGTTCCTCTAAGACAGCAGAGGTGTACCTCCATTCTGATAGATAAACAATCTTCCATCATCAACACTGTGTTTGGTTTTCTTTTGTCTTATAATTTGTTTCTTGCATAAGTTTTAATGTTTCATGCAAATGTGTCAAAAAGAACAGTTTCAGAGTTTTTTAATGAATAAGGTGGTAAACAATACAAAGTTCCACCAACTTCTTGTCCTGGCTCTTTAGGACCATGTTGCTGGTACTCTGCTCTGACCACAGTTTGACACTCTGTTCGGTAACACAGAGATGTGTCACAGTATTTGTTTAAGGTCACTTGTTGAACTTTGGAAACATCCTGAGGCCTGAGCTACAGTTTGATGTTATTTATAATTTCCTCGATGGTTTTCTCCTGCAGCTCACAAAGTTTAGTGCTGATCTTGTTGAGAATGAAGAGGCCTAATTTTAAATGGTTCCAGAATTCAAAGCCACTTTTAGCTGATTGTTATTGAACATGGACGGCGCTGGGTGTCTAAAGTACTGAAAAATCTGAGCCGTCTCTGACCTTTCTTATGTAAATTAGTAATGTTGTATTGGCAACTGAGAAATGGTTGTTCTGAGAAAAAAGCATCATAAGCTTA